GGGAAGGGGAGGGGGGGGGGAGAGTACAATCACCGCTTGCCACTCCGTTTTTTCTCTTGAAGCGCGAGAAACAGAGCCCTTGCAGAAATCACGCAGGACGCATGTCCGCCACGATTCACCTGGAGCCTGCTGCTGCAGTTGGACTGACTGCTGCAGATGGGTTGACTGCTGGACGCTGTGGAAAGAAACGAAGCTGAGAAAAGACCGACCTACGAGCAAATGGTCGGAATCTCTGACACAAGAAGGTGCCAGGTTGAGTTGAACCTACAACTCTGTTTTCTGGAACCAAAGCAGCCCACAACCCGACATAAAAGTGCCAATCAGAAACATCCACGTGGAACCAACAACAAAGTTATCCCACAAACACTCAAAAAGTCAAACCCTTTACAATACTGCTCTCCCTCTCGCGGACCGGACCGAGGGCCTCGTCTAGCGGTCCCGACCCACTCACCCCTCGAAGGGACCGCAGTCCGTGATGTGGTGCGTTATCGGCTTCCCTTGGAACGTCACTCGCACATATGCCTCCTCTTCCTTGCCCCCCGCCTCCCCTGCATCAGAAGCGCCCTCTTGGGCGTCACCGGCCGGTGGGATGACTTCCTGGGACGGGTTGTTAGGGCTACCGGCACCCGATTCTGCGGAGCCCCCGCCTTGTTCAGCCGCTCCTTCTCCCCCAGCAGCAGCGCCGTTCCCTTCCTCCGCCAGCGCCCTCCTCGAAGCGGCGTCCTCGCCGCCCCTACCGTTCTCTCCGCCCCCCAGGAGACCTCTGTTTGGAGGGTCCTTGTCTTCTTGCCCCGCTGGGGGTTTCGACCAGAGCTCGAAGGCCACGTGAGAGGCGTAAGGCGGCCAGCGGCAGTCGTAGGCCCCGAACGCTGCCAGCAGGGGGGCCACCACGGTGTCGTGTCCCGAAAACAAGGCGAACTTTGTGGGGCTATCGCCGCTCAGCGCTCGCTGTGGTGTTGACCGAGGCAGGAGCGCCAAGAAATAACAGGAAGCAGGGTGTGCGTAGGAGTCAATCAGGTATGTACGCATGAGCAGGGAGGGTGCGCGGTGCCAAGCATGAGACGCCTTCGTCTTATCATAAAGCAAAAACACTCAATTCACAGCACCAGGACCACCCACCCACTCACTCACTCACTCACTCACTCACTCACTCACTCAGGACGCGACTTAAAATGATCAAGTCCTTACAGCGAAGATTCAGCTATGCCGGCCACAGGAAACGCAGTTAAGTAGCTATGTTCATGTTCATGTTCATGTGAGGTTTTCGTTGATTCAGTCGTTGCAACGCCACACAGACAGATCAAGAACGGTTCTCCGTTGTCGAAACCGCTACACAAGAGACGAAAAAACTCCGCTCCTAGGAGTATGTCCGTTTGGTTGTGCAATTGCCACATCCCACATGACTGCGGCAAGGAAGTTCGCGTCACACCGCATCAGCCTCGCCACTTCTAGCCCTAAATACTCGTCACTCTCGACGGTAGAGCTGCAAAGCTCCTCGGCCGACTACGGTAGCGCTACCTTGGACTATTTGGTTCGGTTACAGCACCCAGAGGGATTTTAGCCTCTGGATGGGAAGAATCAGCGGGGTAAAAAACGCTACTCGACGAACAACTATAGCAGCTACAACGGGTTGCACGCGCCTTCGTGGTTTTCTGAGTCCGTTTCATCCTGCTTTAGTTCGGGGTCAGTTGAACCGGTACCGATGTACTGAGCAGAGACCGGCACGTTATTTCAACGTCAAGACAGAAACCAACAGCAACGACACCAAAAGACCCTGAAGAAAGTGCACCGCCTATCCTAGCAAGGCTTCTTGCCGCTAAGCCTTACAACTGGATGCACGCTTCCCCATCGCCTGCAAACTCACGAAATCAAGCCTTGCATCTCAACACCTCAACACGACGTCTCGATTCCGACTAGATATAACCCACGTGTTTGCTCTCTCTGTTCTCACCCTCATGTTGGTGAGAATCTCTGTCGTGAAGGGGTACAGGGACAACGCGGCGGATTCTCCTCCGCCGTCTGCCCCGTAGTATCTCAAGCACATCTGGCGGTCCGCCTCCACCATCACGTCCATGGCAACCTCCGGCGAAACGCAGCCCTGGGCCAAGAGCCACGAGGACGGTGAACACGGTCGCGGCGTAGCCGCAAAGCTTAGGAGGAGGGGTCGGTCCACGCAAAGATGACGCCGATCGCGGTCATATCGATCACCCCGAAAGGCGAGGGTGAAAACGGAAGGAACACGCTCCGCACATCGTGCAGTCAACACGTACGTCTAACCTTTGAAGACGGTCAGCCCACGAAACACCACAACTCCACTGAACGCAGCCAACTACTCCGTCACCATCATCGCCACACACTGAAACTGCCCAAGCAGGCAGACACCCATGCATGTACTGTCTACCCTTTGGGCGACAAAAATTGAAGGCATGAACCATATGAAAATCTCTTCTGCGTGCCCCCGGATCGTAGCACAGCGAGCGACGGATTAACGGGGATGTTAAAAAACAAAAACGAAGAAAAGAGGAGGGATACATCAAGCACGACATCAAGCACGCGCATCAACAAAAGACATGTTGGAGGCACACGTCTCTTAAAACATCTTAAACATAATTTAATTCTCGAGGCACAGAATCGATTAGCAAGCCTTCCCCACCTTGTCAGAACACGGCAGGGTCATGTTGTGGCAAGACAAGGCGTGCATCTGGTCTGCCATCGACGTCATCTTGAGCTCCGATACCTCTTCACCGAACAAGCCTAGCACTTCTGCGACGACGTCTGGTCGAGGCTTGAACGCCAGGAATTGTTGCTCGGAAAGCTTGGCCGCTCGTTCGCATGTCCCAACGGTGGTCTTCTGCTCGCAATGCACGACAGCAATACGGCCACAGCACAATGAATTTCATTGGTCGCACAGCAAATAAAATGTCGGTCAGCACCAGGCCTGTACTCCGCCCATTCGTTGTTCCTCATCGTGAATGAAAGAGAAAGAGTGTCGAGCTGTCAACGGGGTGGCCGCCTCCTAAGCCCTAAGCCCGACGTTGCCCCCCTCTCTGCCATAGTCTTCGATTTGGTTTGCAAAGGGCGTGTGGTGTGTGCGGCTGAAAATGAAGTTGCTACAACAATCGCAAGATGCCCCCCATCCCCTCTTGTCTCTCCGCCTCATACATTTCAACCGACCCGCCCCCCTCCTACACCTCCCGCCGTCTCCATCCCTTTGCCACTTTATTTCGCAAGGCTCAACTAGATAAGAGTAATTGACCGGTAGCGTATGATGCTCCTTCTCTGCCTGCCTCTTCTTATGCCGCCTCTGCTCTACCCTACACAACACATGTCCTCAAGTCTCTGTCTCTGTCTCTGTCTCTGTCTCTGTGTGTGATTCTTCGTTACTAGCACCGACCGCGCTAATCGGCTGACCAATGAAAAGGCGTCAGTCTCAGTGCGGTTGAAAACACCAAATACTGTGTGCGTGTCTGTGTACGTCTGTTTGCCTGTCTGTATCTGTCTGTTTGACTCTCACCTCTGGCCCTTGACCACCGTTGTTCTCGCTGATAGCCTTGCTCCCGATCCCGTGCATGACCTGCATCAGTTCATCCATCGCACGGAAAATCAGACACGTCCATCAGTAGACTAGTCCCCAAGCGAACCGCCATCCTACCTTACTATAGCACGTATGCATAGCGTCAACCACAAATATGCATCTATGCTCCGTGCCACAGCAGTGCTTGCCCACGGCTAACCAATAAAGCATACAACGCGAAGTTGCACACCATAGGGTAGCACAGCCCCAATCCAAGCAACACACCTCCACAGCAATCTGGGGGAACGGACTAATAAATCTACATAATAATCCCCATAGTGGAAAGAGACTTAGGAGGGGGTAGTTACAATTGCAAGCACCATATGCGACAAGGAGAGACGGCCAATACCATTAACCCCCCAGCAGTCGCCTTCCCGTCAATACACCTGGTATACAGCATACCACACGGTATGAATAGTTACAGTTACCTCATTCTCTTGGTCCTCGTTTGTGGTGATGGTCATCCCCGAGGACCCGGGAAAGAAGGACATGAGAAACGCCGCAGCCGACTGGGAAAACCACAGCGAACGAACGGACAACACGCATCGATCGTCATCGTCATCATTCGCACGTTATCCAGTGGTCGCAGCAGCGTAGCGGTAGCAGCAGCAAAGGCAGCAGCAGGTTGGAGGCTTGTGCACGCAGCAGAGAGAACAACGAACGCAGTCACATTTTACTGGTTTCAGCGAGTTGCGGCCCCATCCGGCCCATTTCCCTTTCAAGACTGGACGAACTATGTCTGACTACATACATGCGGGAAACACATGGGTCGAAAAAACTGCCACGCGAACCGGTCTTCACAAACTGAAATACGACCATGTGATGTATGGTTGAAATCGCATCGGTCACAAGGAACGCCTCTGTCGGCTCGATCGCCATCGCACACTCCGTTCAATCAGGCGGAGCACGCCACCCGCCGAGTACTCCTGATGTCATCGCTGGGTCGATGTCAGGCAAACCTTCTCCTCAACAGTCAACTCGGCATACCCAGCAGCAACACAAAACAGCAGCTGCAACAGCAAGCCCCCCTTCCTACGTGCCTCGAGATAATCCTTGTATGGACCTCGCATAATGTTCCTCTGCTCATGGTCCGAACGGAATTAATCCTCCTTTCCTACTGTAACTGGCGGGTACAAGCTGTCGTGCAAGAGTTGAGAAATCTACCCCCTTCTAAACGGCACCCTGCACGTTTCCGAGCGATGGACTCATGGATGGCACAGCGTCTATCCCCCGCTGCAACAACAGCTTTCCGTGTGTTAACACGCAAAAAAAGTGACAACGCAGGGAATTAGCGGAGTACGTCCCGCGGTTGGCTCCATACCAGCAGCGCTCGCATGCCTCGTGAAGTCTTTTTCTTCAAGTCTCTCTCTCACCTCCAGTGTCCTGGTGTAGTCCGTGGATCGAATGTATATCTCTTCCGCCGCCACATCACCCAACAAACTATGGTACGCCTGTGGAACGAGATAGAAGCCGGCGGAATGGTGATGGGCGCGGCGCAATGGCGATTGTAGGGTCCAAATGGCGACGAAAGCGGCGCAAATCGCGCCGAACATAGAACAAAGTCAAGGATTCACAAATTCACATCTATCTGCACCCAACGTTGTCACTATACTATCAGCAAGTGAGTCTCGCCACCTTGACCCGAAGCCACAAAAACAAGCAGTACCATTGTCGAGCCCATGCGAGAGAAAACAAAAGCAAGAGCATGGCGTACTTACCTTATGCATGTGGTCCCCGAGCGTGAGATGTTGGCGGATGCCGGCCTCAGTCAGCTGGCCATGCTTGCACAACTCGCCTGCCTGCCCCTGCTCTCAGTTCGGATCGCGGTACACCACCCAACATGCCAAGGAACGCCGATCGGTCGCTTATCTTCTTTTCATAGGCGTGCATGCATCACGCTTGAAAGGTCGAAACGAACCACCTACTTGCCCGTACGTGAATTGTTCACCCTACCGCTAACAGCCCCCCTCGGAAGAAAAGCGTCGGGGTCATCCGGAGCCCACGACCTACTTCTTTGTTAGCAACCGAAATCAACCGAGTACAACACCAGTCGGCGCTGACTGGTCTAGATAAACGGTTTTGTTTATTCGGTTGCTGAAGGGCAAGGTGTCAGTGCCAAGACGCCGCCGACGGGCGGTATATACTACAAGAGACATAGGTATGAGCCATGTCAAGTCAAGCACCGGCCCAAAACAGAAAATACCAAGTCACAGAAAGGTCGGTCGTCTATGTCTCAAACTTCCGTAGGTAGCGCTCCGATGTCAACGAAACCGCTTCAATGTAAGAAATTTCTGACAGATACCAGGCAAAAAGTCTAAACCCGACAGAGCTCGGTACATTTCCCCCTAGTTCTGGAACTCTAGCTCTAGCCTTTGCCAGGCCACCGTGAGCGCATAGCACAATCACGTGCCACGCCAAGGTCGCGACAGAGAAGCAAAAACGATACGCCAGCACGCACTGCAGCACATGAAAAAGAGAGGCTTCCAGTTGATAAAAAAAGGCCTCCTTGCTAAGCAATGCATATGCACACACGTACAATACCTTGAACTCGTCTCCCAGTTGATCCATCTCCTCTTCCGCGTACACCGCTGGTGTGAAGGACCTCTCCAACGGCTTACCGTCCACGCTTTGAACCGAAAACCTGCGGCGGCGGCGGCGACGGCAGCACACAAGCAGTGGGAAGAGTTAATATCGTCAAGGACGACGCTCTTTGTTACCGTAGGAAACGTGTTACGGTCATCGAGAAGGTGCAACTGTCGTCCAAAACGCAGTGTTATCGTGTACAGGAGTTCCTGCCTTCGCAAACATGTTACTGTACGGCAATATCGCTGTTGTGGTATTTCACGAACGAGGCTTGCGTCATAGCCAAAAGACCTACAGCACGTCAGACACCCCTGTGCTGGATACTCAGAGGTTCGAACACACATACATCCACATATGTCTCGGGACTGGATCGTCCATACGTGATGAAACTGCAGTACGATGCCCGAACCAAGCCTCCAGGGCTGAGTCGTAGTGCACGTTGTTTGAAGCTCCCTACATACAAGCAAACGTGACGAGATTCCCCCGTACTCAGTTACCACAGAGGACTCCTGCGTCTACGCTCCCCTCCCTTACCTAGACACGCCCTCCCACTTCCGCTGAATCTCCTCGCTGAAGGGCTGACACCTCCATTTGTGCTCCTCGGCGTTCGGCAGGTCGTGGATCGCGGATCGATCCCCATGCCGAATGGTAATTTGCAGCTGCCGCAACTCCAGGCCCTTCGCAGCAGCACCCGCCACATCCTCAGCCCCATCCCTTAGTAATGGGCGTTGGGCAGATGGATAGTCCAGCGGCGCGCTGCAGTAGAGAGTCTGCTTTTGCATAGGCAGCAGTTGCGGCCCGAAATTAAGAAAAATCTAGTCAACAAAAAAAAAGCTCAAATGTTCACGAAAATATGGGGGAGGCAAGAGGGGCCCCGCGCATCATGCTCATAGTAGCCCTGTAGATCAGCACCCTGCCGAGCACCCCAAATATGTGCCTTTCGACAGTGGACGGCTGGCCGATGCCGGCCTAATATACTATGATGAATTTGGTACAATAGTTTACCGGTTTCAACGTGTATGGAGAGTTCACCACCACGGCCAGGATCAACTCCGCTATCCTTGCCGAAGCGACGTCATGTCCGTTCACACGTTTGGCTTACCTCTCCCGAGCGGACTATCTCGCCCACGCCACGCGCGCGCGTCCCCCCTCGAAGGTTCGGAGGACTCGACACACGCCTTTCAGTACTCCTCGCCTCTTGTCGTGAAGAGGAGTAGCCGGAGAGTCTTCGCCCACCTACAGGATTGTCGGTGGAAGGCAGACACTACATGACATGGCATCGCATCGTGCCACCACACACAACACGCCATCCCATCACATGAACCAACAAACGCAGCTTCGCATTGATTGCTGCTGCCGGTGTAGTTATCCTGGTAATCGTCGTGGAAAAATCGTCAAACGCCGAATCTTGCTGTCTTTCTTGAGTACACCGTTTCGACCCACCTTACACCGTTACCTCGCTCATTGCCCAGGCTGTCAGACAAAAAACAAGCTCCTGCAATGCATGTCATCGGCCACAATGTTCCAATATGCCCGTGTGATTTCGTCCCACCTGTCTATTACGTCGCCAGTCTACACGCCTTTCGGTGTACCACCTATTTGACGTATCAGCTTTTCTTATTATTTTCACGTAATCGAGCTTTTCTTGCAAAGTGAGTTTTTCCCTCACTTCCGTTCCTACCCTGGGTGGCAAGCGCTGGTTCGTGCGTACACAGAGGGAAGATAGTGCTGCACTATCCTCGCGTTAAAAATCGACGGCAAAGCACCGCAGGAAGGGTGGGCAGGGGACCTCAGGGAGAGGAACCCTTTTGTGTGACCACGAGTTGGAGTAGACGGCACAAATGCTGTGAGCGCTGATTTGAAGTGAAGACAAAAAAATACATGTACTGGTATGCTCTACGCCAGTAAATACTACTCGTGTCATACATACGCAAACGCATATGCATGCATACAGCAGCAGTATCATAGCACTGCTCACCTGCTACGACACAGAGGCCCACGGCCACCGATGCTGCCACCTTTCGAAACGGTAAGGCCCTAAATCGAAACAAGCTTTTCGGCCCCTTGCCCGCGGGGTGCTGCTCCACGCTTTCATCCCCCCCCCCCTGCTGCGCCCCCCCCCCCCCCCCCCACTTGGGGGGGGGGGGGGAAAAAACCCCCCCAAACGCCCC